TTAGGGAGGAACTGATTGTTAGAATTGCGTTAGGCTCTTTGAATGTAGCAAAGCCACGAGGGTTACCTTCTTAAGATGGCAGGCCTTTCGTGGAGGAATTTTCTGAAGGCTTAGATTAGGTTTATTATGGCAAAGCACAGTAGGATGCCTTCATGTTGAACTTTCTTAGAGAAATTGGCTCCCCATACACGTTACACATGGAGAAAAGAAAATTATGAAAACGTCCATGCAGCCGGCCCGTTAGCCTTGATTCGAATCCAGGTCGGAACTACCAGTGTTCAGCGATTTAATTCCTCTACCGCGGGAGGGCCTAATTGCTTGAAGGGAACTGGCTTGTATTCATGTTACACACACGGTGAAAACAAACAATGCAACCAGCTGATTCGTCTGGCATCGAACCCAAACCAGTTCGAACTTCCAGTATTCAGTAGTCTTAACCACTCGGCCACTGGTGGCGTGTGGTAGGAGCCACAGATAATGTAGTGAGTAGCAAAAAAATCCCTAATAGTGGCCCTGGTTACTAGTAGGATTGTAAGTATATTGGTAATCATGCCAATCTACAGCAAGGAAATTTCGGAGCTTAATTGCAAAGTCAAATGCGACACTCCGATAAACGTGGTATATGTAGAGATGGAAAAATTTATTATTTAAAATACTTGTATTTATTAGTAAACATTTTATAAAATTTATTCTTAATTTAGCGTTTAAGAATTCTAAGAGAGTTATCTGAGTATTTTTTCTTCCTCTGGTAATCCAATAAAATTGAGTAAATTTATGTTCTGTAATATCTTTGCGTGTTATATACATAGTTTTTTTTTCGTTCAAAGTTAGACAAGTTTACACAAACAATACAGGTCGAAAAGGGAGCTGGTCTGCGCCCGGTGAGCCTGTCGGCAGCGTCGCAAAGCGTAATTTGACTAACGAAAAGATCATGCTTTGGATCTGGTGAGATTGCCGTGGTATTATCCATAAAAATGGTTGGTGTTGGTGTATTTAATTATGGCAAAGCACACTAGGGCTATCTGCCTAAGGGGAGGGATGCCTTCGTGGAGGACTTTCTAAGGGAAACTGGCTCGTATACACGTTACACATGGGGAAAACCACGAAAACGCCCATGCAACCAGCTCGTTCGCGGGATTCGAACCTCGGACCGAACTACCAGTGTTCAGCGACTTTACCGCTCGGCCGCTGGTGGGCTCCATAAAAATGAATCTCTCCATTAGTCGCACTATGCATCACATAAACGTCAGCTGTGCGCCGCATGAGCTGACTCAAGCAGATAAGGTCAGACATGTTCGAGCCTGCACTATTCTTCTCGAATATCAACGCAAAGTTCTGGACCAGATAGTCACTTGTGTTGAAAAATAAATTTATTTTAACAACATAGGCCAAAAATTTAGTTAATCTGCGCCCGTGAGTCCGTCGGCAGCATCGTAAAGCGTAATTTGACTAACAAAAAGATCATTCTTTTGTATTTGGTGGGATTGCCGTGGTATTAATCACAAATAGTATATGGAAAAAGGTAAAACCCTTGACAGTAAAGGATACAACGAGATGCTAGTGCATGTTGACGCTGCTATCAAGGAAAAGAGTCGAATTGAGTTCCGGCGCAGAAAGGTAACGTTCCATCAAGATAATACCATACGTGTCTGCATTCACCGGCTGGCATCTGTACGGACTCGAAAGGGATCTTTCACCACACCCACCATATAACCCCGACATCGCACGTTCGGACTTCTACCTTTTTTTCACACTTGCAGCTACATCTTGCTGGTCCTATCTTCACTTCTGCACAAGACGTCCGAAATGAGGTTGACCTGTGTTTGGACTCGGGCCACCAAGTTTCCGAGGCCGAAGGTTTTTGAAAAACTACCAAAAACATTGGCAGAAAAGCATAGATTTTTGGTAGTGATTACTACCCGCACTAAAGGTACTGACTGCTTTTTTTTTTTTTTTTTTCCCCTAACTTTATGAAGAACGTTCGTGCTTAAAATTTTCGTTACAACCATTAAATTCTGTAATTTATGAATTCCTTCCCACTTCTCATGTATTTATCAGCTGTACTTTATGAACCTGATATTCCTACAATTATCAGCTGTACTTTATAAATCTGATATGTAGAAACGCAATTTGATTTTATGCATTTCAGTATCAAGTGAAATCTTTAAACTAATCGTTCATTATAACACTTTATGTTGTTTTCATTCAAAGCTGAACTCAGATAATGTGCCGAGGTTGTTGAACTACCAGTAATAGGCGACTTTAGTTTAGCGCTCGCCCGCTAGAATTTAGAGAGGAACTGAGTGCTAGAATTGGGTTAGGCTCTTTGAATATAGCAAAGCCACGAGGTGGCAGATAGCAGATGCCTTCGTGGAGGAAGTTTCTGAAGGCTTAGTTTAGTTTATAGCAAAGCTCCCCATACACGTTACACACGGGGAAGATTATGAAAACGCCCATGTAGCCAGCCCGTTCGCCTTGATTCGAACCCAGGTCGGAACTACCAGTGTTCAGCGATTTAACCGCTCGGGCGCGGGTGAGCCTAATTGCTGAAGGAAACTGGCTCGTATTCATGTTGCACAACAGGAAAACAAACCATGCAGCCAGCTGGTTCGCCTGGGATCGAACCGAAACCAGGTCTAACTTCCAGTAATCAATATTCTTAACCACTCAGCCACTGGCGGCGCGTGGCAGAAGTAAGAGCCACAGATATTGTAGTGAGCAGCAAAAACCTCTAATACTGGCTCCTGGTTACTAGTAGGATTATATATTGGTAATCATCCAATCTACAGCAATGAAATTTCGGAGCATAATTGTGAAGTTAAATACGACACTCCGATAAACGTGATAAAGATGGAAAAATTTTTAAAAAAGGAAACTTACTATGCAAATACATGTATTCATTAGCAAACATTTTATAAAATTTATTCTTAATTTAGCGTTTATGAATTCTCAGAGAATTATCTCATCGGATTATTTTTTTCTCCTCTGGTAATCCAATATAATTGAGTAAATTTATGTGCTGTTAATATCTTTGCCTGTTATGTACATAGTTTTTTTTTTTTTTTTTTTTTTCGTTCAAAGTTAGATAAAACTGAACGTACGTTACACTGAAATTACTTTGTCTAGAAAGTAAGCGCTTGCTTGAATAGAAACAGATGTTGGGTTTCATTTTTAGAAGACATGACATCACTTTCTGTAAAGTAATGTTATAAAATTTTGAATTTGAAATAATCGTACTTCGTTTTTAGTAGCGCAGAATGATAAAGATTTAATGAGAATATACCAAAGCATCTTTTTAGAAACGCTGTTATAATTTTGCTATTTTATTTTTTTAAAATACGGTAACAGCACATTGCTCTGTTTCATATATAGCGAATCCGCTCTGAAATGAGGCACGAAGCAGTAAAGTAGCTGAACACCAGTAGCTCGGTCCGACTGGCTGCGCTTTCGTGGTTTTACCCTGTGTAACGTGTATAGGAGTCAATTCCCCTTAGAAAGTCTTCCACGAAGGCATCCTTTTCCTTAGGCAGATAGATCGTACCGGTGTTTATGTTATCAACAGTACTGGTTATTTTCAAAAATGATCATCCTAGAAAGGTGATTGCCAAAAAGTATTCACTTCGCTTATTTATACGTTATGCATGAATATACTCTTTTTAGTCAATCTAACATATATAAATTACTAATGCTTAAAAACAAATTCAATTTTTCAATATTCTGTTTCCTATTTGTTCCTGTTCAATGAAACAAATTCATACACAGCAAATCCAAATGCATCGCTACAGGAAGATGATAAACCAGCTCAGTACGTAATTACAGTTGCATCCGGAAAAGAGTACATATACATATAAATATATATATATATATATACGATATATACAATATATCTATATAAAATATTATCGTTTTTTAGGATGTATCTATAATATGTATCATTTTACTTTAGTAAAATATAATATTCAATTTTGTAATTTAGGAATTTCTTCCCCCTTATCATGTATTATCAGCTTGTACTTTACCCCTTCAATTATCAGCTGTATTTTATAAACCTGAAACATAGAAACGCAATTTGATTTTATGCATTTCAGTATCAAGTGAAATCTTGAAACTGATTGTTCATTATAACACTTTATGTAGTTTTCATTCAAAGCGGATCTCAGATAATGTGCCGTGTACTAGAAAAATTTGATAATGATTTATCCACTTTTGAAATAAAAAAATAATAGTTAGGAGTGTTATACGATTTTATAATACAAGTAAAAAATATATATAAAGCTCTGGAAAGTGCTAACACATATTTATGGAATATTATGGATGGTAATTTATGAAATATTATGGATGGATAAGTAAATGGAATATTATGTGCATGCTATATATGTATACACATATCATCAAGTATAAATTCATTTATATATAATTTTTATGTCGCGATGAAATTACCGAAATGCTTAAAAATCTAGTTATTTTTAAAAACTGTTTTTTTCCGCAGAATAATGGCAAATTATGAAACATTACGCAACATTGAAAAGCGTGATGAACAAATTTTGCGAAAAGAAATAGCGACTGCTGCACGTATCTCATAGATATCTTTCATTCAACACTAAAGTGAAAAAGTTTTATTCCTGTTCAAAACATACCCTGCAGTCTGAGTCACAGACGGAAGAAATGACAGCTGGCCCTTTTGTTCAACTGAGGGGATGTGTTTAAGTGTTTTATGGCTTACTCACTTTCCCGCCAAACGAGTACAGAGGAAGGGAATCGTCATTGCCATAGTAACCGGGCTGTAGGTAGTCTTACAGATTTGAGTCTTTATCTCTCAACGTTCGTAGCGCCATCTGTTATTAAAAATCGACATGAGAAAGGGGTATTAAACGCTCTTAAAGGACTGGATCCAGTGAACCAAACATGTGGTCCTTGGAGTTCGTTATAGTAGTTTGACTGTAATACTGTAAATAATTGTGATGATTTTTGTTAACGTAAATACATTTTTAAATTTATAGAATACTTTGGAGAGAAGCACTGGAGTACTTTGGAAGCTGATACAGCCTTTTTTATTCAGTCTAATTGGAGCTGAAGTCACTATTAGTAATTTGCAGTCTAACCTTGGTAAATATTTCTAATTGTTGTGCTATTTCTGCCAACTGACTTTTTCAATGTAACAGATACAGTAAAATTTTTCTAAAATAAGGTGCTTTAAAAATGTTACTATTAATGATAATGAATTTGTATTTATGTAATGGTTTGTGTTCCTGACGGTAGTATGTCAGTTTAATTAAAATGCTGAAGTAGATAAATCACTGGATAATATACATTTTCCATGACAATTTTTTTTTCTGCTCCTTCAAATACAAAGAAATTCACTTGCGTTTACAAATTTTCTTATTATCTTTAACTTGACTTAACACTCAAGTTGGCAATGTGTGATTTTCATTTGTTTTAAGGTAACCTATGCCATATGATCAGGACTGAGGCTTTCTGGAAACATCATTTTAATAGTTTATTTGCTTAATACTAGCAAGTGACTTACAGAACCATAACTTTGGTGGGGGAAAGTTATAACCAGACTGGGTTGCAGGCAGACTTTGAGCTCTTTGACACTTAAGACTTCTTTGGGGTTACTTATCATAAGGTTCTCTATTCAAAATCATGGGCTAGGAAATTAGCAATAAAGATGTGGAGAAGTTCGTAGAGAATCGTAAAAATGAGCTTAAGAAAAGAGACACCTTCAGTGAGTTCAGAAGCAGGAATAAATAGTGAGTATGGAAGAAATGCCATTAGAAGAAGAGAAAAATTACCCTAATTCTCTAATCCCTTAAATTTGTGCAAAATGGAGTAAAATTCTTTAATTTTTTCGGTAATTTTATCACCATGATAAAGCAGCAGCAAGCTACAGCAAAAGCATTTTCAGTGACAATGCCATAGCTCTTTAGATACATTTTAAAATAAAATATAGACAACAACAGATCGCATTCAACAAATTTTTAGTGAAACCGAGGGTCTCAAGCAGAGTCAGGTACACGTAGAGACAAAGAAGAAATAAAAGAAAATGCTGCCTTAAGACAGCTAACCTAATGCTTATGGAAGGAAATTTCATACACGCACATATATATGTATGTTTGTATATGTTTAGTGATTTCCTTCGATTTTGAATTTTAATTTTGTGCACATTACTATTGTAAAGTGTAAATAAGCAGCATCTATGATTCAGGAAAGAATTCTTGACATAGCTGTATTAATTCCTTTTCTATCTGGACTATAATTTTTTCATTAGTACATTTGCCTGTGGGAAATCTGCAATTAATGCAATTTTTTTAAAAATATTTCTCTACCATTCTTTTCCTGTCTCTGTCACATATCTTAATATTTTTGCCAAAGTAATTTTTTTAATCATTTCATCTGTGTTTACTCTTGAATTGATAAATGGTATCAAAGGTGGTCATTATAAAGTTATTGTACTGAAGTTAAAAACTCTTCTTTATAAATTAAATTTTTAAATTTTGGATTCAAATCTCCAATCCAATCTGTATAACTATTGCCTGTAATGTATGCAAGTTTTGATTTGCGCAATATTCCATTTAAAAATTTTTATTTGCATTTACATTTACATTTTAGAAGGATCTCGATTGTATAGAAATGTTTATTATTAGGTTGTCTTGTATAGAATTCTTTATTATTGGGTTGTCCAAAAAGCTCACAGCAAATAAACGAATCACAACAAAGGTCACAACAAGTAAAAATTTCTGCAAAATTTTAAAGCTTGTTTTAGTTATTCCATTATGTAATTTCCATCCTATTCTATTCTTCTCCAATGTTCTTGGAGCTTCGTAATGCTTTGATAAAAGTAGGATGGTGGCTTGATGTCTGAACTGTCACCTCCTCAAGATAATAGAATTTTTTTCTCACACTGAGAGTTTTTTAAGGACCATTAACTAGTAGTTATCACACATTGTGAGGTCCAGAAAATATGAGTGTGGGAGACATTCCACTGAAACTCCTGAACTTTTTCCTCACCTCCAATGAAACTTGAGGCCTGGCATTGTTATGATCAAAGACAACAACTTTACGATTTGCAGTTTGAAGACATATTGAATTGAAAATTGTCTTCAGTTCTTCTAGCTAACAATAGTATGTAGTGGAATTTATTGTCTGATTGTAAAGAAGTAGTTTGAAAGGAGAAGTCCTTTATAATCCCACAAGACATTAAAACGTTTTTTGGATGGAGGCTTTGTTGCTCTCTGTGAGCTGCTTTGTGCAGTTTCCCGAGTCCACCTTCACACTGTGCTCTCATATAGAATCCAGAATTCATTATTTGTAACAAGTCTTCTGGGAAATGATTCATTTTACTGGCTGCGCAGCAGCTGATCATACACAGATCTTGTCAAATTTATTGCACTCAGTTAGCTGATATGATGCTTGCAACTTTGTGATTACTTTTGTAGTCTGTTTGCTCCAAGCATAAAATTGATGTTTGTGGGGAAGGTAAGGGTCTTTGCAACCTTTTGAACAGTGCTTCGAGGGTTCTGATCAATGAAACTTTTAATTTCTTTGTCATTTGCTGGAGATTGTTCATTCAGACCTCACTTGATTTTTCAGGGTCAGATTTTGTTTTCTAAACTTTTGGAACCAGCAATTTACTGCTCATTATATAGTACCATTATATTTGTAAATGGTGCAAACTTGTTTTAATATGTCAGCAGTTTTGTTAAAAAGAAATGCAGCCTAACATGTTGTGCATGTTTGTTCAAATCATCCATTTCAGGGCTTCATTGAAAACATTAATACAGCTAACACAGCATGCAAGCAGTGTATCATGAGGAGGAAGAGGTTGCCATTTTTTGATAAAAAGCAGCTGGAAAGAAATATAGCCTCATTATTGTAACCTTTCAAGGCACAGTGCACAAATGGTGCAAAACGTTTTCAGCAATCCTTAATTAGCAGAGATTCCTTTTTCTTAAAGCTTTGATGCATAGCTTTAGCATTTTTTAAAATTTTATTTTTCATTACTCTGTGTATCAGAATCTTTGAATGTTAATGCTTTAATTTATAATGAATGATGAGAAATAGTTGCTTGATCAAAATTATTTTGTCCTTAAAATTGCAATTATTTATTGAAGATGTCAATTTTTGCAGTTGGTCTGTTTTAACATTCTCACTATACGTAGGATTCACTTTCATAAAAAGTATATTGTTCTGATGCCAAAAAAAATTAATCTAACAGTGAATTTCTCTTTGTGAAGATGCGTAACATTTTATAGTTTTATCTAGATGAATATTTCCTACGATCAGCAATTCTTTCATGCATGAGCTTTTTCAGTCCAAGAGTCTGTTAATTTTTTATTGAAAGCAATCCATTCTTTTCTTTCTGTATCTGTTTTTTTTTTGTTTCTTTTTTTTTTATAATATTTTTAAAGAAAGCTCTTGTAATTTTTTTATTGATGGTTTTTTTTAACTACTTGAAATTGGCATGTCTTATCAGTTACTCAGGCGTTTTTTTTTTTTTTTTTTTTTTTTTTTTTTTTTTTTGAGACTGGACAAATCCAAATCCTATCTTTTCCATCATTTCAGCATGCATATCATATTGGACAGGACAAGTTGGAAACTAGGATTTAGTTTGGTTTATGGTCAAATCAGAGAGGAGCAGGCAGTTGTTTACCTTAATGTTCTACCGTACATATTTATTTGAAAATGTAATGATTTATACATGATGTTTAATATTAAATTTAATTAGAAACAATCTAAATTTTTGGATTTAGTGAGCATGCTAGCGAATATCAGAATTTTTTATATTTTTTTTCTCTTTTGCACAAGTTTTTGTCATTTCCACTCATGCAACTAGAACCAGAACTGCAACTTGAAACTAGAACTGCAGTTTCTAAAAATTAGGGCTGATTTCTATTGATTGAACTTCTGATATCTAATAATTTACATTCCTCACCAAAATTCCTTTAAGTTAATTTTTTGCACTATTTTTCTCTCCACATAAACAGTAATATGTATTGCTTAAAAAATCAAGGAATTGCAGAAACTTCAGCAGCATTGGCTATGTACAAACACATCTTACGGTTATTCTCTTTACTGATTTTGTGGCAAAAAAAAAAAAAAAAAAAAAAAAAAAAAAAAAAAAAAAAAAAAAAAAAAAAAAAAAAAAAAAAACAAAAAAAAAAAAAAAAAAATTCTGTATTCCTGCAAAAATCTTATCCTACTTTCTTTCATTCCTGGCAGATTTCGTAAGTACATATGTTAAATTATGACAAAAATATCACAATTTGTCTATAAAAACCACTGGAACTTGAACTACAAGAAAAAGAACGTATTTAAAAAAATTGTAGGTTAATTGTGATAATAGCTTAGATGGTTGTGATAATATGTAAGTGCTTTTGAAACACCTTTTCTTTTTGATCTTAGGTAATCTTCTTCATTTTGTATTTGTTTAGACTGAAATTGTTCCCCTTTTTTGGTAGGTTATGGTATTTTGGCTTTGTGTATTGGTCTACTTTTTCGCATTGCAACTGCTGCTCTCGTAACTTTTGGTGCTGATTTGAATATCAAAGAGAAATTTTTTGTTGCATTTGCTTGGCTACCAAAAGCAACTGTGCAGGTAAATAAGTATTTTGTGATTAATTATAAGAATATTTTTAGTTTAGGGCATAATTAGCATTGCTGTATAAATGTCATTTAAATAAAGTATATTTCTCTTCAAAGCAAATCAGTGCTAACTAATATGCTGAGCATAGCAGAATATATGTAACTAACACTTTTGAATGAGCAAATTGTTGTTTAAATTATTTATCTTGAGGGCTACAAATGTGCAGTAACCTTCAGGATTACAAGTTTCATAATGAATAAAGAACTTGAAAATCTACATAAAGTAACGAAGTTTACCTAATCGAGATTCATGTTTTCTTGATGTGGCAGAAACATTATTTTGAGACATTACAAAAAATATATTCATATAAAATATAAGTAATTAAAAAAATTTAAGTATTTTTTCAGAAATTTTGCATTGTTCTCTGCCATGAAAAACGTGTATTAAAAACTGTTGCTTTCATCTGAAAAATCTCTTTGTTTCATGAACTTTCAGAATAAAAGCACATTCAATGAAGCTAAGTCTTTTAAAAACATAAGTTATCCATAGTTATACACTCAATAGAAGATGATTCTAGCATCCCAAATAAATAACACATTATCATATTAAATCATTTTTGTTAAACTATTTATCTTTAAATTACACTCCATACTCCATTTAACAAAATAAACTGTTACTGTTAGCGGATGGAAAGTAGACTCAAACGTTCGTTACTGCGTTTATTAGACTGTGTGAAGAACAAGTTCGTACAATAGATATACAAGTAGTTCGGCGCTCGCAGGCGCCCTCTTGCAGGGAACAAAATCAAAATTTACATAAGGCGCGAACATGCCGCCCACCTTGAAATACTTTTTCAACATTTAGTGGTTAAAATTCAGTAAATTTAAAACACAATACAATATTAAAATTATGATATAATACTTAATTTATAATACATGAATTAAAACTCAAATTGGTAATGGACACAATTTTGTAATATTTCTTTTAACCATGCCATCTGAAGTCTTAATAGTCACAACCCTAACAATATTATCAAGACCAGGATGTAACTGAGTAATTCCACCCATTCTCCATCCAGTTGGAGGCAAGTTATCCTCCTTTATGAGACACAGATCATTAACTTGAAGATTTTTAGTTGGCAAAAGCCATTTTGGTCTTTGTTGTAATCGACACAGATATTCTTTGTGCCAACGCTTCCAAAACTGCCGAACCATTTTTTGAATATGTTGCCATCCAGTGAGATGGGAAACTTCAATGTAATTTGGTTCAGGAATGCTTGTTAATGATCTACCAATAAGAAAATGACCAGGCGTTAATGCTGACAAGTCATTTGGATCATTAGACAAACTTGTTAAAGGTCGCGAATTAAGACAAGCTTCTATTTGTGTGAGAAATGTTTCAAATTCTTCATATGTCAATCTCGCCTCACCAACTACTCGTTTTAAATGGTATTTTGTTGATTTTATGCCAGCTTCCCAGAGTCCACCCATATGTGGCGCACCTGGAACGTTTAGATGCCATTTAATGCCATTATCAACCAAATATCTGCTAACATTTTGGTTATAAGTTGCAGACCTAGCAAGCCTTTCAAATTCCATCAGTTTGCATTTTGCTCCAACAAAATTGGAACCACAATCGCTATATATATCACTGCTTTTGCCTCTGCGGGAAATGAACCTCTTAAGAGCTGCAATAAAAGCATCTGCTGAAAGATCAGTCACCAATTCTAGGTGAATAGCTCTTGTCGTAAAACAAACAAATAGAGCTATATATGCCTTGAATGACCTAGAGCCTCGACCCTTATTTGCTTTAATTTGAAAAGGACCTGCGTAATCCACTCCACAGCGCAAAAAAACGCAGGAGCAGGCGAAACGCGACTAGACGGCAAATCGCTCATCAATTGATTAGTGACAGATGCTCTAATTTTGCAACACTTTATACATTTCCTAACTAAATCTCTGATAACAGCTCTACCATTTATGATCCAATATTGTTCTTGAATGCAAGATTGCATAAGTTGTGGACCTGCATGCAAAAGTCTTTCATGGTAATGTCTAACAATGAGATGAGTTAAAATGTGCTTCTTTGGAAGCAAAATTGGATGCCTAAAACCATATGCAAGGTTTGCATGTCGCAAGCGACCGCCCACCCTGAGAATACCTAAATTATCTAAAAATGGATTTCAAAGATAAAATTTTGCTTGTACAAGATAATGATTGATTTCTGCCTAAAGTGTTAATTTCATTCTTAAATTCAACATATTGCATTAATTTAATTAACACATGCATAGCTTTAGTTAATTCACTTGTTTTTAGAAAATCCACTTACCTGATCTTCTGAATTTTTACAGTTATTTACAAACCTCAGACATAATGCTACAACACGTTTAAGTTTAGTGAGAGAGGAATATTTATAAAATAAATCATGAGCATCTGTCAAGTGACTGGCAGCAGTTGGCAGCAGTTGTAGACTGTAAAGCACATCTTTGCTCTGGCACAGAATCATTCAGTAGTGGTGCAGATAATGCTTGCTGAAAAGGAAATAAATTATACAATAAATCTGGACCACGTAACCACAATGAAGTAACCAGTGCAGATGATGACACACCACGCGGTTGCAAGATCAGCAGGATTAGCATTTCCACTCACATGATGCCACTGGACAGGAGAGGATAAAGTCTGGATTTTTGCTACTCTGTTGGCGACGAAGGTCTTCCATCGGCTTGTATGAGATCTTATCCAGGCTAATACAATAGTGGAATCAGTATGAAAATAAACTTGCGATATAGGAGTATTTAAAGCCCTACAGGTGAAATTCCATTAATTTAGTCAACAGTAATGCTCCACAAAGTTCCAATCGGGAAAGTGAAGTGATATGGTTTTTAGTGGTGCAACTCTTGTTTGGCTATCACTAACTGAACATTAATTTGTCCAGTATCTAATACAGAACGATAATAAATTGCAGCGGCGTAGGCCTTCTCTGAGGCGTCACAAAACCCGTGCAGTTGAAACTGGTTATCTGATTCGACCAACAAGAATCGTGAAATTTTGATACTTTTAATAAATAACAAATCTTCTGTAAGTTGTTTCCACTCACATTCAATATCTGGAGGAACCTTTTCATCCCACTGAAACTGATGTTTCCACAATCTTTGCATAATCAATTTATACCGAACCGTGATCGGTGCCAACCATCCAAGAGGGTCAAAGGTCTTTGCGATTATTGAAAGTAATGTTCGTTTGGTTAAGACTTCAGCCCTCTTTCACGTTGTTTAAATGAATGAATTTTTTAAAACATCCCTAAAGATACACCCGAAAAAAGAAATACTTGTATCAAATTGTTTCTTGTATCAAAAATCTTGTTTGATACAAGAAAAAAGATACCCAGCTCAATTTCATACACTATTTATTAAATTTATATGAAATTTACCACCTCTTTCACGTTGTTTAAATGAATGAATTTTTTAAAACATCCCTAAAGATACACCCGAAAAAAGAAATACTTGTATCAAATTGTTTCTTGTATCAAAAATCTTGTTTGATACAAGAAAAAAAGATACCCAGCTCAATTTCATACACTATTTATTAAATTTATATGAAATTTACCACCTCTTTCACGTTGTTTAAATGAATGAATTTTTTAAAAAACATCCCTAAAGATACACCCGAAAAAAGAAATACTTGTATCAAATTGTTTCTTGTATCAAAAATCTTGTTTGATACAAGAAAAAAGATACCCAGCTCAATTTCATACACTATTTATTAAATTTATATGAAATTTACCACCTCTTTCACGTTGTTTAAATGAATGAATTTTTTAAAACATCCCTAAAGATACACCCGAAAAAAGAAATACTTGTATCAAATTGTTTCTTGTATCAAAAATCTTGTTTGATACAAGAAAAAAGATACCCAGCTCAATTTCATACACTATTTATTAAATTTATATGAAATTTACCACCTCTTTCACGTTGTTTAAATGAATGAATTTTTTAAAAACATCCCTAAAGATACACCCGAAAAAAGAAATACTTGTATCAAATTGTTTCTTGTATCAAAAATCTTGTTTGATACAAGAAAAAAAAAAATACCCAGCTCAATTTCATACACTATTTATTAAATTTATATGAAATTTACCACCTCTTTCACGTTGTTTAAATGAATGAATTTTTTAAAACATCCCTAAAGATACACCCGAAAAAAGAAATACTTGTATCAAATTGTTTCTTGTATCAAAAATCTTGTTTGATACAAGAAAAAAGATACCCAGCTCAATTTCATACACTATTTATTAAATTTATATGAAATTTACCACCTCTTTCACGTTGTTTAAATGAATGAATTTTTTAAAACATCCCTAAAGATACACCCGAAAAAAGAAATACTTGTATCAAATTGTTTCTTGTATCAAAAATCTTGTTTGATACAAGAAAAAAGATACCCAGCTCAATTTCATACACTATTTATTAAATTTATATGAAATTTACCACCTCTTTCACGTTGTTTAAATGAATGAATTTTTTAAAACATCCCTAAAGATACACCCGAAAAAAGAAATACTTGTATCAAATTGTTTCTTGTATCAAAAATCTTGTTTGATACAAGAAAAAAGATACCCAGCTCAATTTCATACACTATTTATTAAATTTATATGAAATTTACCACCTCTTTCACGTTGTTTAAATGAATGAATTTTTTAAAAAACATCCCTAAAGATACACCCGAAAAAAGAAATACTTGTATCAAATTGTTTCTTGTATCAAAAATCTTGTTTGATACAAGAAAAAAGATACCCAGCTCAATTTCATACACTATTTATTAAATTTATATGAAATTTACCACCTCTTTCACGTTGTTTAAATGAATGAATTTTTTTAAAACATCCCTAAAGATACACCCGAAAAAAAGAAATACTTGTATCAAATTGTTTCTTGTATCAAAAATCTTGTTTGATACAAGAAAAAAGATACCCAGCTCAATTTCATACACTATTTATTAAATTTATATGAAATTTACCACCTCTTTCACGTTGTTTAAATGAATGAATTTTTTAAAACATCCCTAAAGATACACCCGAAAAAAGAAATACTTGTATCAAATTGTTTCTTGTATCAAAAATCTTGTTTGATACAAGAAAAAAGATACCCAGCTCAATTTCATACACTATTTATTAAATTTATATGAAATTTACCACCTCTTTCACGTTGTTTAAATGAATGAATTTTTTTAAAACATCCCTAAAGATACACCCGAAAAAAGAAATACTTGTATCAAATTGTTTCTTGTATCAAAAATCTTGTTTGATACAAGAAAAAAGATACCCAGCTCAATTTCATACACTATTTATTAAATTTATATGAAATTTACCACCTCTTTCACGTTGTTTAAATGAATGAATTTTTTAAAACATCCCTAAAGATACACCCGAAAAAAGAAATACTTGTATCAAATTGTTTCTTGTATCAAAAATCTTGTTTGATACAAGAAAAAAGATACCCAGCTCAATTTCATACACTATTTATTAAATTTATATGAAATTTACCACCTCTTTCACGTTGTTTAAATGAATGAATTTTTTAAAAAACATCCCTAAAGATACACCCGAAAAAAGAAATACTTGTATCAAATTGTTTCTTGTATCAAAAATCTTGTTTGATACAAGAAAAAAGATACCCAGCTCAATTTCATACACTATTTATTAAATTTATATGAAATTTACCACCTCTTTCACGTTGTTTAAATGAATGAATTTTTTAAAACATCCCTAAAGATACACCCGAAAAAAAGAAATACTTGTATCAAATTGTTTCTTGTATCAAAAATCTTGTTTGATACAAGAAAAAAGATACCCAGCTCAATTTCATACACTATTTATTAAATTTATATGAAATTTACCACCTCTTTCACGTTGTTTAAATGAATGAATTTTTTAAAACATCCCTAAAGATACACCCGAAAAAAGAAATACTTGTATCAAATTGTTTCTTGTATCAAAAATCTTGTTTGATACAAGAAAAAAGATACCCAGCTCAATTTCATACACTATTTATTAAATTTATATGAAATTTACCACCTCTTTCACGTTGTTTAAATGAATGAATTTTTTAAAACATCCCTAAAGATACACCCGAAAAAAGAAATACTTGTATCAAATTGTTTCTTGTATCAAAAATCTTGTTTGATACAAGAAAAAAGATACCCAGCTCAATTTCATACACTATTTATTAAATTTATATGAAATTTACCACCTCTTTCACGTTGTTTAAATGAATGAATTTTTTAAAACATCCCTAAAGATACACCCGAAAAAAGAAATACTTGTATCAAATTGTTTCTTGTATCAAAAATCTTGTTTGATACAAGAAAAAAGATACCCAGCTCAATTTCATACACTATTTATTAAATTTATATGAAATTTACCACCTCTTTCACGTTGTTTAAATGAATGAATTTTTTTAAAACATCCCTAAAGATACACCCGAAAAAAGAAATACTTGTATCAAATTGTTTCTTGTATCAAAAATCTTGTTTGATACAAGAAAAAAGATACCCAGCTCAATTTCATACACTATTTATATTAATTTATATGAAATTTACCACCTCTTTCACGTTGTTTAAATGAATGAATTTTTTAAAAACATCCCTAAAGATACACCCGAAAAAAGAAATACTTGTATCAAATTGTTTCTTGTATCAAAATCTTGTTTGATACAAGAAAAAAGATACCCAGCTCAATTTCATACACTATTTATTAAATTTATATGAAATTTACCACCTCTTTCACGTTGTTTAAATGAATGAATTTTTTAAAACATCCCTAAAGATACACCCGAAAAAAGAAATACTTGTATCAAATTGTTTCTTGTATCAAAAATCTTGTTTGATACAAGAAAAAAGATACCCAGCTCAATTTCATACACTATTTATTAAATTTATATGAAATTTACCACCTCTTTCACGTTGTTTAAATGAATGAATTTTTTAAAACATCCCTAAAGATACACCCGAAAAAAGAAATACTTGTATCAAATTGTTTCTTGTATCAAAAATCTTGTTTGATACAAGAAAAAAGATACCCAGCTCAATTTCATACACTATTTATTAAATTTATATGAAATTTACCACCTCTTTCACGTTGTTTAAAATGAATGAATTTTTTAAAACATCCCTAAAGATACACCCGAAAAAAGAAATACTTGTATCAAATTGTTTCTTGTATCAAAAATCTTGTTTGATACAAGAAAAAAGATACCCAGCTCAATTTCATACACTATTTATTAAATTTATATGAAATTTACCACCTCTTTCACGTTGTTTAAATGAATGAATTTTTTAAAACATCCCTAAAGATACACCCGAAAAAAAAGAAATACTTGTATCAAATTGTTTCTTGTATCAAAAATCTTGTTTGATACAA